GGCAATAATGTGTTTTTTTTTTTTACATTAAAGCATGTCAACATATTCTGTTACACCAAATACACAAAATAATGATCTTTAAAAAAGCATCATATGACCCCTTTAAATGTTCAACGCAAGGAAGTAAATGTCTATTAAAAACGTGCATTACGTCTAAATTAACTAATTTTTATGTTAGTAGTTGCATAAACAATTATGAACAAAACAGCATCACGTATTTATGCATTGCTTAATACAAAGAGCCGAATCGCCCGTCACACATTGTATTTAAAAACATATGAGACGCAGTGAAAAGGAATAAACCTCCACAAACTTGCGACGTGTTTTCTAAAAGTTTAAACTGTTTTAACTGTGCATGGCTACATCTCTTGTGTGAGACGCGAGTGCAGCAGTCGTATTTGTCCGTCTAGATAGTGTGCTGAATGGCTTGGTTTGGGTTTTAACCTAATCAAGATCTTCTCCGCATTGAGCTTCTGTATTTCTCTAATATTTTGAATGAATAACGCAGCAGCGGCGCGTCTCGTGAGCTAGACTAACAAAAAGATGCTGTGATGCAACAGATGATTCGAACGAAAAATTGTAGGGCGGGACTTGGTTCAATGCGTCCGTAGCTGATTGGATGTTGAGATGTGGGCGTGGCTCTCAAATGGGGGCGGATCTGAATGCCAGTCTCATAATGGTTTAACAGTTTACATCATGCATTTAGAAAACAGAACGCTGATACTGATGAAGCGATTAAGCTGAAAACTGTGAATATGAGTAAAATACCTCGAGCAACGAAGAAAAGATCTACTGAACACATCAAACACCTGTTCATTCACCCTGTACTCATGCATACTAGCTCTCTCTAGTGTGCAGGAAGTCCATCACCTTCAGAAAGCACCAACACGTACTCTGCTAATGTTTTGGGACACGATATTCTTCTTGATTCTTAATATGCACTATATAGACTGTATCCAATAACTGCTGCCGCTGCTGTACTCTAACTAGCCACAAGTGCACTAAACAGACACGTCAGTGTGACATTATCATGATGAGTTTCCAAACATCCACTGTCACACTCAGTATGCGACACTAGCATGAGTATGCGACCAGAAAACACTTTGATATGAACAAGACTGCAAGACTTTTTTTCTTCTGTGGAGAAATGCGTGTCAGTCACTGAGCTCCACAGAGGAAATCAAGTGTCATGCAGTGGCCTACATGATGATGGTTTCTGAGTGAACTATCCCAGTGTCTCTC